AAACTGACCCAAACCCACTGGCCCATCTGGAAAAACATGAAATAAATCCAGACTATTTTCTGCTTGAGAGCTCTTCAATTGTTTAAAGAGAGCTATCTCAAGGTTTCCTTTTCCTTAGTTCTTTCAGCTGTTCTTCACAGGACCTGGGGGATCCTAACCACTGTAGTCCCCACGCATCCAACAAACATTAACTGAGCACTGAATACTGGTATGGTAGTGGCCCCTAGGGTCTTTCTGGTTTGCCAGCCTCCTCAACAAACGGTACCTGTAACTGAAAACACTTAAGATGTGGTCCAAATAAAAAAAAAATTAGTACTTTTTTTGATTTGCACCTTGCATTTTTTAAAATTAATGAAGCTATTTCCATTATGTGTATTTTTTTTAGGGTTACATATGGAGACTCTGAATGAAAACAAATGAAAAACCCTAGTCCACAAGAAAAAAGACCTGAGAATGTTTTTTTGGCTCATGGTCTCCTCTAGTTTATAATGACATACACAATAGATATCTTACCCTGAAGGAAGGACTCCATTGCCCTTATTAATTTTATCTTGTTAGTTTCAGTCCATTGTTCCAACCCACTGACAACTTCCTGAATTCAGATCCTTCCATCCAAAATATCAGCTCTCTGTCTATGCTATATCATGTTAAATTTGATAAGCAACCCTGACACCTTCATCCAGATCACTGAAAAAATTGCTAAATGGAATCATTACAGACCTTCCTCCAGGCCAAGCTAACCACACAAGGGGGGTGGCAACATTTCAGGCATGCGAAGGAAAGTTTGTGCAATTCAAAAAAATCATATTCAGCAGTATTCTTTTTCATGAAATGAAGAACCTATCAATTTCCTTTTTTATTTTTTATTTATATTTATATTTATTTATTTATCTGAGATGGAGTTTCACTCTTGCTGCCCACGCTTAGGTGCAATGGTGTGATCTTGGCTCACTGCAACCTCCACCTCCCGGGTTCTTGGGATTCTCCTGCCTCAGCCTCCCAAGTAGCTGAGATTATAGGCACATGCCACCACGCCCGGCTTATTTTTTGTATTTTTAGTAGAAATGGGATTTCACCATGTTAGCCAGGCTGGTATCGAACTCCTGACCTCAGGTCATATGCCCGCCTTGGCCTCCCAAAGTGCTGGGATTACAGGTGTAAGCCACCACACCCGGCAATTTCCTTTTTAATACAAACAACAGATGATATAAAGCTCGGCAGAATCTTGTCTGGTGGAGAAGCACAGAAGACAGACTCAACAGTAGAGGGTGGACAATGAGATATTAATATTTAAAGAGGAGGTGTTTAGGATTTAAAAAGCTGTCAACACTGATCCAGATAGACACTGTCCTCATGGATTTCAACTCTCCTGGAATAGCTCTTGGGCTATGAAGCAACTTAACTGAACCATTATCCACTCAGTATTTCTCCATCTTGTCCAAAAGGCTAAGAGAAGAAACAATCAGATTTCTTACAAACTCAGAATATATCTATGTATACAGTATTCGACCAACCTAGAAACCTTACCCAAAAAGAACAGATTACTAATTGAGCCTGCCTTGTTGACCTAAGCTGGCTCTCCTGCTTATATCACCTCCAGTGGACGCCGTTCCTTCAAATCCCTCTTGCTCCTAAGGCACGTGAGTGATGCTCATAGTTCCAACATCAACCCCACCCTTCTAGGCTGAGGCTCTCTCAAAGCCCTTCTGTCAGCCCCTCCATCTGCCTCATATCCCTCCTGCTTACCCACAAGCCTTTCACAACATTCTCCCACCTGCCCCAATGACTTCAGCCTAGGTTCGGATTGCTTTTCCACTCTTTCCAGGATGTCATTCTCAGCATTTTCTTAGAATTTGGTGGTGCTTTTGGATTCCTGACTTTACAACTCCTAGCCTACTTCCTGCTGACCTTTTTCTCTGTTCCCCATCATCACCCTGGTCACGTGGCCTGCAGCAAGAACACCCCGCACCTCTGAGATTCCAATTCCAATTCTGAATTATTTTCCCTCTCTCACTCCTTTGTTGAGGCTCTCAGGCCAGTTTCCCTCCTTGGTCCTGCTATTCTTACTACCTTCTGGCTAAACACGTTCCTGATCCTGTCTCCATCTGTGGCAAAGCTTTTTGATACTTTTCTTTGCTAGAACTTGTCACCTTCTCGATTTTCCAGTAACAAAACAAGGATTGAGTATTTTGCCTATTAACATTATGCCAAATACTGTCATCTTTACCTTTCAAACAAATCCAGAATCCTCAGATTTCAACACTTACCCTGCTGTCAGAGCCCTAGCATCATATTTCTTGCTTACATTATTGGGAAGGAACCATCAGGCCTCTGTGCAATGATCTAGACAAGAGGCAATGGTGCTAGGATGATGTTACCAGGCGGATGGCAGTGAGGGTGTTGAAAACTGTTCTGATTTGTCCCTTACTCCTGTTCTCAGAGCAACTGGAATAATTATTTTAGAATGTCAGGTCACATCATTACCCTACTCAAACCCATCAAAGGTTTTCCATTGCACTCTAAATAAAAGCCAAGTAACCAGATGGTCTTCTTTAACATTGTTCCTGTCCCCCAAATGTCCTAGTCCCCTTTCCTGCTTTATTTTTTTCCATAGCATCCACCACCACCAAACATTTAAAGAATTTTACTTCCTTACTATGGTTATTTCTTCTGTTGCTTCTTCATGCCCTTTAAGTTCTATGGGGATAGCTACCTGTGGCATCTCCTATACCTAGAAGAGTGCTCAACATATAATGGGTACCCAATAAATATTTGGTTAAGTGAGCAAATTAATACTACCTTCCCTATGCAGAGGCTTTATTCGTATTTTCTTGTTCCATAATATATTTGCAAAACAAAAGCAAAGAGCCTCCTTGTTCAGCTGCTTTCTAAGTCTGGCTATGCTGTTCCTACTGATGCTCACTCACAAGCACCCCCTTCCCACCTCTGCCCTAGCGGGCTAGGTGCTGTCCTTACAGGTCAGACATTCTCTATGAATATCTGAACTCAAGATCCCCATGCAGCCACACCCGATGCCCTTTTACTCTAACGAGTGGCAGTTATAGGACTTCTCCACCATTAACATACTTTGTCTTTGTGGCAATTTTATATGTCCCTTCAGCAAAGCTTTGCTCACACTGTCCCCACAGCTGGGAGGCCTGCTGGCAAATCTCCCACATTTCTCTTTTAATCCACAAGCATCACTCTCCAGCTTAAAGTTCTCCATTGAATTCCCCTCATCTTAAAATAGAATCCAATGATGAGGCCCTCCATGATCTGGCCTTTGCACTCTGACATCTTCGATCACTCCAATGCGCTCTCGTAACACTGGCTTTCTTGTTTTTTATGACATGCCAGGGGGCCTGGTCATTCCTTCTGTCTGGGCCATTCTTCCCTTTGATCCTGCCATGCTGGCTCCTGGGTATCACTCGGAAAGGCCTCACCTGACCACTCATCTAGAAGTCCAGTGTTCTCTGCTCCTGCTCATCCTGCTTCAGTGCTTCAAGCACAATCTGAAATGCTCTTAATTTGTTTACCTTCTGTCCCCACATCCTGCACATCAGCTCCATAAAGGCACAGACTTTCTTCCTATGTACCTCTCTATCTGTGTATCTACAATTGTGCAGGCACATGGTAGACACTAGCCAAATGGATGAATGAATGAACGAGGCCTGGCATGTCTCCCTTAGCATGTCAGTTTCTCTCTAAAGATATCCCCCATTCACCCTGCCTTAATAGCTAGCTTTTCTATGGCTAAAATTCATGGCTACATTCCCATTGGTGATACCTCTGACATATGCTCACCTATTTATATTAAAATTTCAAGTTCCCTTTATTAGTATATATACAAATAGTTATAAAATCATAAAAAATAACATTTATGATTCTCTTGTCTATTCCTTTCTCAGTTCCTTAGTACCACATCAGAATGGCAGTTTTTTGGTCACAGATATTCACCAGTGTATATGGTGTTACCAAGACAATTTTCTAACTTGGTTTAAAGGCAAGTTCCTCACTTAAAGTTCTTCCTAGTATTTGCTGGATTCCTCCATTTCCAGGAAGAGCCCCTACTCTGATTGCTTAACCCACGGGCCAGGAACCTAGAGTTCACACTTGGCATCATCTACATAAATCACTTCCCACGCTCTCCTTTCTAAGTCATGACCTTGAACTACAGAGAGAGAGAGAGAGAGAGAGAGAGATACCACTTGTTTCTCTAAGTCTTAATTCCCTTAGCAAGACTTCAAAGTCATTTAAGAGGAACATGATCCCCTCTGGGGGGCATAACAGGACCTTCTCCCTTCGGGGACAGTATAATCTCAACGACTAACTCGTGCAGCTCCAATGACACACACCAGCAAGTCACATTCTTCCACTAACCTCTAGACATTGCCTTGGCTGCCTCTCCTCCCCTGGGGATCTTCCTTCCTGGAGTCTCTCTTCCCTCCTGGCAGAGCCCACTGTGGTATTAAAGCACACCAGGCTTGGAGTCAGAGGTTCTGAAGTCCCATCTCAATCCTCATGTGAACTGGCTGTATGAACCTGGGAAAATCCCTCAGACCTCACTGAATCTGCCTCTTCAGCTGGATACTTCATAGGATGGTTGCAAGGATTAAGTGCAAACATGTCTGGGAACGTCTTTTGTGAAGGATAAGGTGCTATTTAGCCATCAGTTGTGGCTATTAAGATCTTTGGAGCCTCATTCTTTCTTCAATGCAGAGGTGGAGCTAACAGGCAACTGTAAGCAGGAAGACACAGCACATTCCCATAGGAAAACCACTTCCTGCTGAGCAATCAAGCCACCTAATTCATACTTTTTCTACAGCAAGCATGAAGGAACATACCCGTGCCACTTTATCCAGAACAATCCATTGTTCTCCTCTAACATGAGGACTCAGATACTCAGAAGGATGCCTCAGAGATAATAATCTAAAGAAGGTATAGTTGAGTTAGATTGAAATCGTCATAAAAGGAGGCTTTTTTCCCCCCCGCCCCCTTAGCTGAGAGCTCAGTGCCCCTCCAGGAGGGAGGGAAAAGCCACAGGCAGCCTTGTTTTCTTCTCATTAGAAACCAAGTCCTAGCCCAGCAGAGGCACATTCCATAGGGGCTGGTTGGGTTTGAGTGGAGGCTGGAGCGCAGAAACATTTTGGGTCCCCCTTCTTGCCTTCCTATAACAAAATCTCAGCAGTTGCTTAAATCTCAGGAGGCCTGGGATGAAACACCACCCAGGCCTGGCTGGACAGGAACAGACACATGCCTGGAGCCCAAATGCGACTCCAGGCTTTTAAGAGCTTGGCATGACCCCAGTTAAGCAATTCTGGAATCCACAGAGACTCTCGCTTGACTCCCCTCTCCCCACACCCACTCTCCCGAGACCTTCCTGGAAAAAGCAATGCAGGATTGGCAACCACCTCGTGCTTCCTTTTTTCTGCCAGCCGTCTGTATTTCCAAAGGAATCAGGCCCTAAGCCTAACCACAGTGCTCAGTAAATGGAGGCTGCTTTCTGATTCTTTAAGCGACCTTACAGCAGGCAGCCAGCTCTTCCCCCCTCACTACATGAAAGAGAGAGAAAAAGAGAGAGCGAGAGTGTGTGTGTGTGTGTGTGTGTGTTTCCTTTAAGGCAACACAAGAAGAATTTGATGTTTGGTTAGATCTTACTATTATATTTTAAATGTCATCTTTTAAGAGTCTTTTTTTTTTCCCTAGTTTCTAAGATTCACTTTGCCTTTGGATGGAAACTGTCTGCTGGAAAGACAGAGCTGCGCTGTGAAGGAGAGTGAAGCTAAGGCACGCTTAACAACGGCAGGCTCAAGTCAGAGTTATGAAGCAAGATCAGTCCCTGGGGTGAGTCTGAAGAGGCTGCAAAACATGCTCTATCCAGCTGGGAGTTTTGGGGCTTAGAATGTTTGGGGATGGACCCAACATCTCGCCCCAGGCTCACCACTGTATAACAGGCTTTAGGTATGCATTAATCTAGTTTTGGGGGTCATATTTTGGCTCATTGGGTTCCCGGATTTATGTGTTGGAAGGTATTTTCAGTAGGTATCTGAATGATATGATCCCTGGGAAAGTGACCCTGTAGGATGGAGGCTCTCTGAACAAATGCTACCTTGTTTTCTTTCTTTGGTTCTTGGAGTGTCCTTTAAATTAGTTGAAGCCTATAGGCCTTAAGCTGTGAAAGACTTGATAGACTTCTGCTAAGACAGTGCAAGTTAGATTCAGGCACAAATAGTACCTTTCAATTGTGAGTGTGATTAATATTTGGCGATAAACAGAAGAGGGCTGGTAGCAGCCTAGCTTGTGCATACCTGGCTCCCTGTAATGAGAGAAACCACCTACTCATCTCCTTAGCCACATGAAAGGCTGCTGGCTTTTCTTCTCCAGGAAAATGCTCCATAATGGGGCCCAAGCTCTGGTCCCCGACAATGCAAGTGCCCTGGAGGAAGTTGCCTGATTGGTAGGGTTAATCCACAGTCCCTGGGAAAATGCCTGCCTCCCCACTACTCCCCATCAGCACGCCTGAGCCAGACCCTGCCTAGAGTTCTGAGAGTGGTAACCATTCCTCTTTTCTGGCCTAAAGACTCTTCTCACCAGGACTATGGAGAATACCAAGAGGCAACGGAGATTGATCTCATTTTACCGGTCAATGTTCTTTGGGAGAGTCTATTGGGTTACAGCAGAGGTTTCACCAGTGGTAAGAAATATATCAATCCTGTTGACCCAATGTATGCACAAACAGATTGCAAAAAACAATATTTACCCTAAGTGTGTGATATACACTGATATTTTCTTTCTATCCTGTGCTATTCAATTGTTTAAAATGCTGCTCTCCATATATTAAACTGATTTCACGATCCTGTGAATGGGTTCCTACCCACAGCTCAAAGATTGGTAGAAGAACAGAACCTGCTCTAAGTAGCTTCCAAGTTAGGAGCTCAGGCTTTGACCAGATAAAAACAATGGGTTCTATTGGATTCATTTGCAAATATTTCCTGAGCACCTAGTAGGTCCCAGGCACTGGCACAAGTGCTGAGTATATGGAGTAGAATAAAGAAAACAAAGTGAAAGTCACCTTTTGATTGATAGGCAGAGTTCAGCAGCAGAAAAGGATTCACTTGGAAAAAAATTATTCAATCAGTATTTTTTAAAAAAGTAATCACGTGTATGTATAAAACAGAACTAATAATATTTCAGGATAAAACATTATGAACGACTCTTAAGGAAATTCGGGATTTGGAAATTATTTCTGATTCAGTATCCACTTGATGTGCATTTACACTTGGCCATAACAGCTTCATATTCTAATCAATAACATTTAGCTCTCTCCACGGATATGAATCAGAGACCCTTACTCCATGAACACACAAATGTGGAGTGATTTCAGCTTTCTCAGGGACCATTTATTCTGCAATAAACATGAATTTCATTGACATTCCCTTTATACTGTATGAGATCAAGTCAATATATACAAATCAGGATATGAACAAAATTGACCCCATAGCTACAAACGGTGGGGTGAAAATAGAAACAGATTATTAATTACAAAGAGGGTTTCTGCTGCACAGGCAGTTCCTCTGTGTTGGCCCTTGCAGCTTTCCCTCACAAAGCTTCTCCCACTCTGGTCAGGCGGATATTTGTATCATGGAGCAGAGTCCTGCAGTGTCCCCTGGGAGAAGCCACATGCAAGGACTTTACCCTATGCTACATCATTTCAAGGCTTTCCACCCAAGTGCCTTTGAACTGATAACATTATACAGTGCAGAGCTCAAGCATCAGTGCTTTGAGTCTTCTGTTTTATCTTTAAAAACCATGAGAGTTTTGCACAAGTCTACACATGAAGTCCTTCTACCTCACTCCCAGAGTTTTCAGGTGAAATACAGGTTTATCTTGTAGCTTCCCATACTCTTCTGAAATCTTCCGCTAACCCCCACATTATTCAGGCCCCCAAGGGAAGAAGCGCAGGCCTGAGTAACAGCTGTCGATATTTACCAATGGGAGGAACACCACACTCTTAGCTCCTGCATCAAGGTGGCCCTGTTGTTTCAGAGGATGGAGAGCAAAGGCAGCTGTTGTTAAATTTTCTGCTCTCACCTCACACCCAGCAGTTAACGGATTTTCACATACCCCAATGTTTATTATACAATCTTTTTGTTCCAGGCACTAAGGATTTATATTTTTTAAAACTTACATAATCCTCACTGTAACACTGTAAGGTAGATAGAAACATTATCCTCATTATGGAGGCATAAGAGAGGTCGTACATCTGGGGGGAAATAGGGGTCAAGCTCACTTCAGGTCTGTCCCAACTGGGTTACACTCTTAACCATGCTTCTCTGTCCCTTTGTGAAGAGCTAGGAATCTGCATAAATACCACAAAATGACATGATATGCAAAAGAACGTTTAATTACTAATTCTCTTCCTAAAATTAAATTGTAAAAAAAAATTTTAAAGCTCATCCTCACCTTCTAGGTTTTTATAATGGTAAGTCTCATAGAAGTTAAAACATATTAATACTCCTAGGGTTGAAAACTAGGGTTGTCTCTTAACAATATGGCAGATGTACAAGGTCACTATAGAATTAGATTTAACCTGAGCTTTGGCATTCAAAGTGTTCGGCTGCAATAAACTCAGACTCCAAATTTTCATACCTAGGTGCCCAGCTTTCCACAGCGTGATCCAATGGGACCCCTTCGGGATGGGGTAGGTAGCATTTACTGAGGATGAGCAGGAATGAGAAACCAATAAGTTAAATGCCCTGGGCAGCACGGTCTCCTGGCCTATCCCATGTATTTATACTATGCGTGAAGGCTGGACTATCCAGGTTATGGGCACAAAAAAGGAAAAAGAGGAGGCCTAATCTGACCCTGACCCACTGCTGTACCTGAAGGCTTTGCCATCTCTTATCAGCCACTGCCAGTCCAGTGTACTGGCACCTTATGAACAGTCACTGGCTCACTGCAGGTGGACAAAGACATTCCCAAGCAATAGCAAGGGAGTAACCGGGGCGAAGACCACCAGCAGCCCAGGAGTCCCAATATTTTTACAGCCCAGGCTGCACAGTGCTCTTTAACCAATCACTTCTGCAAACTGTTGTTCATATCCATTGTAACAAAGTCTAGGGCTGCCCAAAGCCAGTGTTTAAGGATATACAGCAATCGCCTGGGGCGCTGATTAAAAAATGCAGAATCCATAGGGATTCTAATGCAGCAGATAAGGTAGACCCTGGAATGTTTTCAGTAATTGCCCCAGATGACAAAGCTTCACTCTAGGTAAACCTTTGTCTATCAGTTTTGTATGAAACTAATCATCCATATATGGCCCTGTCCTGACACTAGACTGTAAACACCATGAGGCTTGGGACTGTTTTTTTCTTCTTTGTATCTTCAATGCCCAACTTGACACCTGGTTCACTGAATGAATAGTAGTTGAAACTGATTGTCTCACAGAGATGAAGCTCTGTGCCTTGTCCTTTAGGTACAGAGAGTGATACATAGCATCTGATCTACCCTGGAAGACTGACAAGGCTGATCCCATCTCAGCAGAATCTAAATCGAGAATATGGCAGAATATCATTGCTTTTGCCAGAACAACCAGATGAAGAACAAAAAGTGAATGTGCTCCATTCCCTCATGAGGCTTCTGAAGCTTTCCTTATGATCTGATCACAACAAAGGAGACAGGCAACTGACAAATAGCACGCTGGTCCTGAAACACTGCTGGCATCTTTGTCATCAGCCTTCCTGGCCCTTACAGAGAGATCTGCATTCAGCGCTCCAGCAAGGAACAGACACACAAAACTTCAGCCTCTCTCTTAATAAGTCCTTGATTTACTTGTCTCAAGGTAAGAGGACAGTGGTGGTAGGTTGAGATTTTTCAGAGGTTGGAGTGATGGCTTTCCAGCTCTTGTGTGTGGATTACTAGGGTAAACCCAGAAGCAAGGAGTTTTAAACCAGCACCTCAGATGATTTAGATGAAGATGCAGGTGAGCATCTTCATAGGATTATCAGCTCGAAACCAGCTGTGCCAATTTCCTGCTGGGAAACCTGGGGAGCTGGGAAAAGCAGAAAACTTATCAAGCTCTGGTAAGAGTGAACTAATTATAAGTGTTGGTTGGACGCAGGAAAATGTTTCCTTGGTGGGCTTGTGAGTACCTGGAAAATTTCACGAGTGGCAGTGTACCTACTTCTCTGGAATTTCCTGAAAAATGGGATCCTAAAAATAGGCTGAGAATTGGTCCATGCGTCCTTTTCTTTTCTTAAATCACCTTTTAAGTCACTGATAAAAATTTTATTTTTATTCATTTATTATGTATTTTGGATTCAGGAGGTACATGTGCAGGCTTGTTACACTGGTATACTGTGTAATGCTAAGGTTTGACGTACAGATGGTCCCATCACCCAAGTGTCAGCATAGTACCCGATAGGTAGTTTTTCAGCTCACACCCCCTCCCTCTTCTCCTAGGAGTCCCCTATATGTCCTTCATATACATATTGTCAGCTCTGTATTTCTGCCCTGTGTGTAATTTTCATACTTCACATTCCACCCTAAGGTGTGGAGCTCTTAAGGGTGGGAAAATTCTGTTCATTATTGGCATCCTTAGCCTGGTTCCCCATGAGCTGACTCCAATGTACTTACCTAGTTTCATAGTCTGCTTCGCTGCCCACCGCTGCTCTCCACCCTCTCGCTCCCTCCTACGTGACACTTATGTGAGCCTCCCAGGACCATGTTATCTAGCTGATATACACCAACATAACTGCACACGAAGGGCTAAAACACTGAAACACTCCATGCTAGTTGGCAAACAATGGCTGTCTCAATCTCCATGAATGCCCCATCTGCTGCTCTGGACTCTCCCCTAGAATCCCCAAGGTGTAACAGTAAATAAAGGGTTAATGCCTGGCACAGCAGGGAGGCTTCTAGGACCCTGCTGCAGCCCAGCTGGGGCCTACTCGTCCATTTTGATTGTCCAAATATTTTGAATATTATCTCTGGCTTCCAAATTCCCAAAACACACATCACATTTTCACCCCTCTGGGCTTCTGCTGGCACAGTGCCCTTTGCTCAGAATGTCCTTCTCTCCAGCTTTCTTGAAACCCTCTCATAATCCAGATCTTTGGTTCAAACAATCTTCTCCAAGAAGTCCTCCCCAATCCCAGTCTCCCCTCTCAAAACGACTACTCCCTCCACCACAGCCACGGGCATTTTCTTCAAACCTTTTTGTATAACTCTTATCTTTTGTGTTCCTGTAGTTATTTATACATACATTCTAACAGACCTACTTCTCCCCCTGCTGAAATTTGAAGAATAGGTTTCAAGGTGAAATGACATTGTTCAATAAATTTCCAGAAAGGCCGGGCGCAGTGGCTCACAACTGTAATCCCAGCACTTTGGGAGGCTGAGGCGGGCAGATCATCTGAGGTCGGGAGTTCACAACCAGCTTGACCAACATGGAGAAACCCCATCTCTACTAAAAATACAGAATTAGCCGGGCGTGGTGGCGCATGCCTGTAATCCCAGCTACTTGGGAGGCTGAGGCAAGAGAATCGCTTAAACCCAGGAAGCGGAGATTGCAGTGAGCCGGATCACGCCATTGCACTCCAGCCTGGGCAACAAGAGTGAAACTCCATCTCAAAAAAAAAAAAAAAAAAAAAAATTCCAGAAAGTCAGTCTTTGGCCACATGGCAATTTCTTTGAAGCTAACATAGTCCTATCTGATGAGATCCTTCCGGTGCAAGGACATGCTTTAACCACAGACAGGTTTGACCCTCCCAGTTTCTTGGGTATGGTTTGGAAGGCCACAGGAGTACATTAAAAGGTCCAGCATCAGCTGGGTGCGGTGTGGCTCACACCTGTAATCCCAGCACTTTGGGAGGCCAAGGTGGTCAGATCACTTGAGCTCAGGAGTTCCAGACCAGCCAGGCCAACATGGTGAAACCCTGTCTCTACTAAAAATACAAAAATTAGCCCGGCATGTTGGTGCACGCCTATAGTCCCAGCTACTCAGGAGGCTGAGGCATCAAAATCATTTGAACCTGAGAGGTGGAGGTTGCAGTGGGCTGAGATCATACCACTGCACTCCAGCCTGGGCGACAGAGTGGAGTGAGACTGTCTCTTTAAAAAAAAAAAAAAAAAAAAAAAAAAAAAGTCCAGCATCTAGAAGCCAGAGGCAAATATAAGCAAGTCCCCAAACCAAAAAACATCCTATCAAATATAGTGCCTGGGACAGAGGGGCTGGCAACGGGCTTCCTGACTGTACTGATGGTGCCTCTTCTGACAGACAAGAGCTCTACCTTCTCTGTGCCAAACCCATCTTCATCTGCCACGCTGCAGGACAGACCTGCTAGGCAGAGGCAGCCAGCAGACCTGATCTGACTTTAGTTTCTTCTCAAAACTGCCTTCCTTTGTCTTTTTTTTTCTAGCTTCTCACTACCTTGCAGAGGCAGCATTTCAGCAAATAATAGATTGTAAACATCCTGAGGCCAGCAGCAGCTCTTGCTGACCATTTCACTCTCCATAATAGCTAATGATTATAGTATTAGACACTCATCGTGCACTATTATATGCCAGGCTTTGTTCAATGCACTCAACCTTACTAACCCATGATATCCCAACTATTATCATGTACTGTTTTGTTTGTTTGTCTGAGATAGGATCTTGTTCTTTTGCTCAGGCTGGAGTGCAGTGGTATGATCACAGCTCCCTGCAGCCTTGACTTCCTGGGCTCAAGTGATCTGCCCACCTCAGCCCCCCAGATAGCTGGGACTATAGGCACATGCCACCACCCCCAGAAAATTTTTGTATTTTTTGTAGAGACAGGGTCTCCCCATGTTGCCCAGGCTGGTCTTGAACTCATGGCCACAAAGGATCCACCCGCTTCAGCCTCCCAAAGTGTTGGGATTACAGGCGTGAGCCACTACACCTGGCCTCAAGTACCATTGTTAGCTTCATTTTACAAATGGGGAAGCCAAGTTGAGAGTGGCAAAATGATCTGAGGTGGGGATTGGCCCAGCTAGGCAGTCTGGCTCCAGCGTCCTTGCTCTTAACTGCTACGCAACATCTACTGTGTAGTAGGTGTACAATACACGTCTGTCAAATATATGAGAAGTGTCTACAGGCCCTTCTTGGTTAAAAGGACACTACTTTAAGAGAGATTTTTATAAGCACTTGACATCCCCAAACTTCCCCAGATGACTTGTAGCTATGTTCTCATCATATACATACTGTACAACCCCAAACACCAGTCACAGGGGACGCGCGGTACACACACTCTGCTTAAACGTATGTGGATAATAGAGATAAATGCTGTGAGTATTCGAAGGGTCTGAGTGGGGAAGAAAGGCTTGGAAGTAGTTTGGCCACTTTAGGACAATAAACTTTTACTCATTGAAGCAGAGAGACGTGTGTGAGTGCATTCATGCGTGCATGCGTGTGCAGGGTGAGTGATGATCAATAGGGAGCGAGCTGGTGGGGGCATCTCTTTTCTTTCTCCTCCCTGTGGTCTGACAAAGCCTGTCTGTCTTGGCTTGCAACCATTCGTAAAGACCCCATAGCTTCCACTGGCCTCCTGCGCAGGAGGGCAGGGAGCAGGGAGTCATTCATCACTGTCAGGAGATGTGCTGCACGCAGCAGGGCCCGCTTTCTTCCCTGCTGCTCCTGCAGCTAGAGCTGCAAATCTTGAAAAGATGCAGAACATGCACATAGCAAATAACCATTCATCATCTCAGCTCTGGAAGCCCCGGGAGAGGCCCCTCCCCGTGTGGGGCTGACCCATTCTGACTTGGACTCCAGCCCCACTGGAATTTGGAACACAGGGACTTTTCAGGTGCCTAATCCCTGCCCCAGCCTATCCGCATCCTGGATAATCTATTGAGGTTTGGGGTTAAAATTCTCTGAAATGATCCCCCCTGCCCCTTTCTCTACAAGGTCAGATTTTCAGAGTGCTTTCAGCAATCAGACTGCTGCCAAGGTGGCCCGTAATCATTAAATTATGAAAATACAAGTTGCTGAGAGGAAATGAATACCAGGTTTCACTAGGGAAAGGCCTGCTTTCTTGTGAAGTAATTATAAAATTAAAATATCATATTTCTCTTGTGAGTAGAAAAAGTCTCCTCATAAGGTAGGTCTGTGGCATGACAGCAACATCAGGATTTACACTGGGGTGGGACTGAGAGAGCCTTCTGTGCCCCCCAAATGCCAGAGACATCTGTAGGTAAATTTCCGAAGACTGGGTTAAGAGTGATTAAAAGCAGAAAGAGGGAAAAGTACCGAGTTTGAATTTTTCAATTACTCTGTAAAACTCAAGAGTCAAGCTGTTCAAAAATGCAGGGTTTCCAAGGAAGGCTAATAATGCCGAGCTAATTAGACCCACAGGCACGGCCAACATATCAATTCGGGCCCAAAAGAGGGACACTGTCCCTTTAAAAACTGCCTTGGGATCTGTGGAAAAGCTAATGAGGAGTGTCAGTTGGGGCTGCTTTATTAGGTGGTCCTCAAGAGGATAAAGCCTGGGGTTTCTGTAACAGGGCTTCTGTGCTTGATTCAATAAATCAATTTATATTAAATGCGGGTGCAGCTCTGGAGTTGGCTTCATAAAGCATTCTGCGGCGTTTCTCAATCTGCTCATCCACTTCCTTGTCAGCCTGCTTGAATGCACTGTCAGAGGGCATTGAAGACAGCAATAAAGAATAAGATAGAAGCTGTATCTATATTTGTAAAACCCAACCTGGCAGCTCCAGACCATGCGTGGAACTATCTCCAGTGAGTTTCTCTCTCCAGAAAGCATCTGGATTGTTGGTAAGAAGCCTGATGCTGTGGGGCTGCGCCTCCCCTCCCCAAGTCAAGCTCCAGGCTATAGATGGAGAATAAAGGTCGCCCCAAACACAGTGGAAAAGGTTGGAAACCAAGCTGCTTTTAAATCATATTCTCAGGGCCTGAGATACTCCCCAAGAAATCAAAGGAAAAGCAAGAGGGACAACAGTGCCAACAGCTGGTCCTCATCCAGGAGACAGCTGAGAGAGCTGAAAGAAGGCTGCTGGGCTGCTTGGGGAGGGGAGGTGCACTACTGACTAGGGCCGATGAAACGGGTCTCTCTTTAGTCTGGCCAGCTTGATGCAGCTTCTTGGTGGCCCAAAAGTGACCACTGGCTATGAGGTGAGTGTTCCTAAGCACAATGACTGATGCCCCCGGGGATCAGAAAAGGGGTGTGAAGCCCACCCGTCTGCAGACTCAGAGTCCGGCAGCAGAGGCACCAGAGGCTGGTGTGGCTACACCATTCCCTGTCCACACTTATCAGTACCCAGCTTTTAAAAAACTCTTTGCTGCCAGGTTCGGTGGCTCATGCCTGTAATCTCAGCACTTTGGAAGGCTGAGGCAGGAGGACTGCTTGAACCCAGGAGTTCGAGACCAGTCTGGGTAACATGGCAAAACCCTGTCTCTATAAAATACACAAAAATTAGCAGGGTGTGGTGTCACACACCTATAGTACCAGCTACTCAAGAGGCTTGACTCAAGTTTTACAGAGTAATTGAAAAATTCAAAGTTGGTACTTTTCCCTCTTTCTCACCTGAGCCTGGGAGGTGGAGGCTGCAGTGAGCTGTGGTCATGCGATCGCCTTCCAGCCTGGGTGGCAGAGTGAGACCCTGTCTTTAAAAAAAAAAAAAAAAAAAAAAAAAACCAAAAAACTCTTTGCTGTTGGGATGTTGAGTTACAGAGAGCTCCTTGCACCACCCCATTCCCAACTACACCCACGCTCTTCTACAATGTAGACCACAGCACCATCCCGTAGAACTTTCCGTGATGATGGAAACGTTCTATATCCGCATGGTCCAGTTCAGCAGCCACTAGCCACATGTGGTTCCTGAGCAACTGAGATTCGGCTGGGGCAACTTGGGAAATACATTTTTAATTTATGTAATTTTAACTAATTGAAATGGCCACATGTAGCTAGCGGCTACCGTGCTTGAGAGCACAGAGAACTGAAAAGGTTTTCTTTGCCTCAATAAAAGCAGAAAGTGCTGAAAGGAGAAAACGAGCTGATTCCACTCTGCTCCCAGTGGAAAATCCCCTATTTGCTCATAGTTTTAATGAAAAGAGAGGAGGGAAAATTATCGTGATGTATCATCAAGTTAGAATTATAAAAATTAGGGGCTCTAAGGGACAAAATAAAACATTGCCATCTCTGGAATCTTTCTAATGGGATCTGTCTTTTCCAGCAGCTCTAAAAGCAGAGCGAAGCCTACCCCTGCCCCCACCACACTTACAGGTTGGCAGCAATGGCCAGAGGAAGTATTTTACAAGCGGGAGACCTAGGCCAGGATTTACCCAAGGCCCCAGAAGCTTGGCAGAGCAAAGTACGCAAGGTGCCTATCACCAAAACAGGACTCTCTTTACCAAATCAAGCATGTGATCTCAAGTTACCAGTCCAGCCTGCCCCTGAAATAAGACCATCATAGCGTTAGAAAGGCTTTGCTTAAAGGAAGAATTCTGGTATACTTTGCTCATGACCAGAACCATCTGGAAGCAATCTAGCATTCACAAGATGGACTTTTCTTCTTTGGCCCTTGCTCTCTCTACAAATCCCATCAGCCCAGGAACAGCTGCCGGAGAATCTGGCCTGGCGCCATGGGTGAAGTTTCAGCCCCCTCCCACACACATGTCCTTCTGGGTCCCTGGCTTGCTTGCCACCCCATGTGGCTGGACATGGCACAAAGTACGCTGGTCCTACTTGAGAAAGCGAAATAGCTAGCGGTCACAGGAGCAGAGACTTGGTGCCACAAAGCCAGCTGTGAGAAACTGCTGTTTCAACTCGGTAACACAGACACTCGCCAGTAAATTACAGCCTGAGACATCTCAGAGGGCTGCGGGTCGGGATACGCTGCTCTCAAGGCAACACAATGCCAGCTACAGCGTGCATCCTGCAACAGCAGCTCAACACAAAGGGACGGGGAGGATGGGCCCCAGCGTGAGGATTCTGGCACCGGGACCAATGACACCATGCACAGGAGGTGAGAGCCAAGGGGGTGATAGGGAGAGCAAGGGAAGATTCCATCAGGAATGAACTCAGCGCAGGGGGCACTGCGAAGAGAGCGGCTTTGTAAATCAAACCACTGTGCAAACTATCTGAGGAGAGGGGGAAGGGGAGGTGGGGGAGCCAGGGAAGAGGCCAACTGCATTATGAAGGTCCTGGTGACAATAACCTTTTGTCCTCAAAACAATTTGGGCCTGCCAAGCTGCTCCACAGTCTCTGAGAAAGCATGAGGGTGGGAAAAAAAAGGATCCCCATAAAGAGGCAACAGACTCATTCTTAATTATGAGACAAGGCTTCCCAGAGCTGACATCCTCTCCCACACTTCCTCCTGCGGCAGACACACCACTGAGTGCCGGCGCGATGCTCCTCTAATTTGAGCAGGCAAGTTTTCTAAGAACTGGTTCTTTTGGGATCTTCCCCCAGAACCCCCACCCCCAAATGACACAGGCTCTTAGTGAGAAGTGTGAAGCATCAGTTTAATTTGACCAATGCTCTACAGGGTCAGACTGGGGACTAGAAAAGTGACGGCCTCAGCAGCTCCTAATATGCTTCATTCCATCCTCTTGACCCTATAGGATCGTCAAGACACCGGTCCTGGTCCTGGTGGATAGACAGCCCTTGCTTAAATGTACACCGAAGCTCGAAACGGAATTATCATGTCTAATTATCCTGAAGAAAAGCTGACTGGCACCTTGTGTAAGAACCCCAACAAAGAGTCAGAAACCTGGATTCTAGTCCTTATTCTGACACGTTTGCGTCAGGGGAGGCTGCGCAAACCGCCTAATACCTCTAGGCCTCAATGTGCTCACCTGCAAAATGGGAGTCAGGGGCAGTCATTCCACATCTGGCAGTTCAGCACCTTAGTAAGCACCACACACTCTGAAGTTACACTGCCTGGATCCATATCCCACATTCTCCTTTTATGAGTTCTATAACCTTGAGCAACTTAGCTCTGTGCCTCGTTTCCTCATCTGTAAAATGTACCTAGTTCCTAGGACTGTTTTAAGAGTTAGGTATGAGGAATCAGGTAAAGCTCTCATCATAGTGTCTGGCCCTTAGCTCTTCCAGTAATTGTCAGCCCCATTATCATGATGATTAGTGGGGGATGAAGAAGAAAAAAAATTCCACAACTAGGCATTTACTACAAGGATTAAACAGCTTTGCAGTAGTAATCCTTTATTACAAGGATTCTCACAGCTTTTACCTGTGAGAAGGTTTCAGAAAAATGGGTTCCAGGCCCAAGTAATCCTTCCACCTCAGCCTCCCAAGGAGCTGAGACCATAGGCATGTGCCACCATGCCTGGCTAATTTAAAAAATTTGTTATAGAGATGGGGTCTCCTTATGTTGCCCAGGCTGGTCTTGAACTCCCAGGCTCAAGTGATCCTCCCATCTCGGCCTCTCAAAGTGCCAGGATTATCGGCATCTGCCACCATGCCCAGCCTCCCATCTTTAAGTCCTAAAAAATAACTGCTAGATCTAAGGCTTTCTGTTAGAGGGTAAAAACATTTTAAAAAGGAATTCATTAAAGTTGGGTGGGGGTGCTTTATGTAGGCAGTAGTCTAAATTGAATGGATGATTGATTTATTGATTCATTTACTTATTTAGAGATGCGGTTTTGCTCTGTTGCCCAGACTGGAGTGCAGTGGCGTGATTCTGACTCACTGCATCCTCAAATTCCTGGACTCAACTGATCCTACCACCTATGCCTCCCCAAATGCTGGGATTATAGGTGTGAGCCACTGTGCTTGGCCTAAACTGGTTTTCAATTTCTTAGGTTCTTCTAACAAAGATGTAAAGGGCTTTTCTTCACCTTAAGTCCTATTTTCAAATCAAAAGTCAGAACAGGTAGGAAATGCACAAAGATGCACATAAATCTGCTTGTAGCCAAGGTTGCGAGCCAACAGCCGTGTGGGGAATTAGGCTGAAAACAAATCAGCAAATCACGTCTGACTAAAGCCATTCTCAGTTGTGGCTCCTTCATTATTCAGTACCTTCTGTGAAGTTCCATACAATTAAAAACAGCCCATTTGTGGACTGTTTATCTGCTTAGGACCATGCTAATGCAGAGAGAGAGAGAGAGAGAGAGAGAGAGAGAGAGAGAAAATGAGAAAGAGAACAAGAGGAAGTGTGCACGCAAGACTGAAAGAAAGTAACTGTGTGCATATAAAGTTGGATATAGTCTAGTCCCTGAACTTAGCTACATTTTTTTAAAAAAAATTATAAAACCGGGACAATCTTTAGACATTTGCTAAATATTAAAATGTACAAGCCACTAAAACCAAACCAAACCAAAACAAGACAAACAAACAAACAAAAAACAGAGCTTCCAGGGTTTGGAGAAAGAAACATAAAAAAACTAACCCCATCACACATTCTACTTACAAAGAGACATTTGAGTGGAACCTTTACAGCCTTTGAAAGCATCTTGCCCATTAAAGTGAGGATGCCTATTATCTCATTAGGAGTGCTTTTCAAAGTTAGTAACAATGAGCTGTTCTTCTCCCCCTTTGAATCAATACTAAGCATCTGCAACAAAGATACTTTTCCTTATTACAAAATCCTAGGCAGATATTTACCATTTGTTTTGACTACTTTAGATCTAATTTGCCTTTCTGGCATAGAAAGAACATAGGTACAGCCTTGCCTCAAGCTCAATCTGTTTTAAATGTGCACAACGACTGTCTGCAACATTGACCTCCCCACTGTGTCAATTATACTTCTTTTCTTCCTTTCAGCCAATACGTAATTGCTGCCTGTCTACTATGTGTCAGGCACAGGACTAGGCACTGGTGTCCCCCTCAAGGAGACTACAGACTTGTTGAAGAGACACATTTAAATAGGCAACTGGTGTTGTCAAAGACTTACCTTTATCCCCTGGCCTAAATGATTTAGTTTCTTTTTTTTTTTTTTTTTGAGACGGAGTCTCGCTCTGTCGCCCAGGCTAGAGTGCAGTGGCCAGATCTCAGCTCACTGCAAGCTCCGCCTCCTGGGTTCCCGCCATTCTCCTGCCTCAGCCTCCCGAGTAGCTGGGACCACAGGCGCCGCCACCTCACCCGGCTAATTTTTTGTGTTTTTAGTAGAGACGGGGTTTCGCCGTGTTAGCCAGGATGGTCTCGATCTCCTGACCTTGTGATCCGCCCGTCTCGGCCTCCCAAAGTGCTGGGATTACAGGCTTGAGCCACCGCGCCCGGCCTAAATCATTTAGTTTCTTATTCATTTTCGTTCCTTCTGTGTTTTCTGCTTCTATCCCTCTATTTAGTCCTTGAGACCTCACATAAATGTTGCTATGATAGTTTTTCTCTGGGTACCTGAATCTGCTTTCTCTCCTAGTCAATTTCATTCCAACTTCTCTTAGAATGGCCTTCCATAAACATTGCTTTCATTTAATTCTCTTTCTTAGGAATATATAAGAGCACCCCATAGCTTCCCAGTAAATCTAAATTTGTCTGGCATCCCATTTTCCCTATCATGTTCCCTCAGTACCAGCCCCGTCTGTCTCTCACAGTCTCTTCTCTTCTATTTGGTCATATTCCTCGATATCTTTTAGATCTACTCTTTTCATGTGTTTACAACCATGTGGGTTCCTAACCTTCCATCTTTCCAAATTCTACAATTCCCAGACTAAACCCCATGATGCTTTGCTGAATTACACTAGCTCTCACCTTAAACTTTTCCTGTACAAGTGCTGATTTTGCTAACTAAATAAAAATGGATTTACAAGAAAACCTAGTCAGGGTTGGTATGATGACCCTGGGGCATCAAAACCCCAGAACTCAGAGCTGCAAAGGTGAACCCTTTCTGATAAATCCATTCATATTTTAGAGCAGGGGTAAATTCTTAGGCTTGAGAACCAGTCTCTGATGCAACTACTTAACTGCCCTGTTGCAGTGTGAATGAAGGCAGTCACAGATCAAACAAACAAATGGGAATAGCTATATTTAAAAAAATTATTTATAGAAGTAGGTAGGGTAGGCAGAATCTGACTCTTAGGTCATAGTTTGCTAACCTTGTTGTAGAGGAAGAAGAGTGGATACAGGTGAGGAACTTCTATTGGCTTGCAAAGGACAACCAGAAGTCCCTTAGATTGGCCTCTTATCTTCCCTGGGTAGCTCAACTTGTTCCCTGAAGACAGTATATAGCCTGGCGGTAGATCCCTGGCCAAGTCATCACCATGGGAATTTGGGCTGTGACCATCTGCTATTGCTATTTTGGTCAATGGGGAAGAGATAAGAAAATCTACTTCAACTCTGTTGGAGATATGGGGAAGAAAGGGTCCATTGTCTCATTCTCATATGTTCTTCCAGACTGGCAGGAGGCTCGCTTGTTAGGACGCCAGGGCACAAGAGCAAATCTTCACCCACACAGTGCCAGGCACTGCACTCTCATTTAATCCTTATATCAACCATAGAGTGTAAGTACTTATCATCATATCTGTTAGTCAGATACAAGAAATGATGAGATCTTAGTCAACTTTAGCCACTGCTCCATTCTAGAAATGGTCTTGATGCTTACACAGTTGTGTTTTTGGAATAAGAGAACCCCCTAGACAAGAGTTCTTATTTCAATTTGAATGTGATATTAATGAGAATAGCTCACTAACTTTAGCCTTGATAATGAACCTTCAAAGGATATATCTTTTTATCACTTTATCCATGGAAAAATGGGCTCTAGAGGTTAAGCAATTTGGCCAACTTTGCTCATTTAGAAAAATCAGAGTCAGGATTTGAACCCAAGTCAGTCTGGCCAATAAACCTTTGGCCATTCTACCTCTTTAATAACCCTGACCTAAACAGATAAAGCTTCATGTGTTTTTAAAGCCCTCAAATGTTTGCTGCATGTGAAGTGAGAAATCAGGTCAGTTTCACGGGGTCCAGTGTCCCCAAGGAGAGCCTCGAAGAAGCAGAGAGGCAAACCAAGGCTTGTGATTTGGTCCTAAGCAAAAATAGCAGAGGCAGGTGTAGCCCCTTGTCCTTCACCACAAACCCAGGTCTCTGGCTGTGCTTCCTGATCCAAACTGTGTAAGTGGCTTTTTATGGTGGTGATGCTTCCTTCACACACACTGTGTGGTGCCGAGGCGGAGGAAGGCATGTTCTTACCAGCCTGTCATGTTAAAGTCCCTGTAGAGCATCTTCTTTCCAAGCTCCTTTCTCTGTACTCTCCTTGGAAACTCCAAATGTGTGAACTCATTTCCCAGCAAGTGAGGCTGCATGAATGCCTAATAGCAAAAAGAAAAAGAAAAAACACATACAGACACATATTTAGAGAAACAAAATAAGAATCAAGGATGCTTTGCAAATTGAGACAGGCCATATTTTAAAAACAAGAAAATTGCCTCATATTTTAAGTAAATAGATTTCAGAGTCTAACCACTGATAGAAGATGAGCACATAAAAATGAACTTACAAAGGAATGCAACTTTTTCATTTGATCTGATACATTGATTGTAACCAAATGCATAGCTGAAGGCATCAGGAAAAAAGACTGAGCTTCTCTCTAAAGCCTGGCTTTTTAGTTTTCCAAATGGTATACTGGTGAGATACGGGGTGAGAAAGCTCCCCTGACGTGGCCTTTTCCACACTCATCTCACTCACATTCCTGGTTATCACGGCCTTGCCTTTGAAACCTGCGTGTGAGCTTTCACATAAACACAATGGCTCGAGTGCTGGTTGGGGCTGGATGCAGCAGACGGGAACTTTCTGTTGGACTCCCTCCAGTTTGCTCTGCAG